ATGCTGACTCTCTGTAAACCGCTTAGAGAGGCCTGAAAGGCCTATGAAGCGGTATATAAGTCTACTGCTATTGCTATTGCTATTGCTATTTATTCAGAGAAATTACGTTTCCTCCTCTTGATCTCAGCAGATTCTACTCTAGTGGTGACTAAAGGATTCTTCACAATATGCTGACTGCTGGTAATATTAATATTACAGTAACATTGTGGTAAGCGTGACTACTATAATACAAATTACTCAGAACATTAAAAGAAAGCTAAAACTGTACATTCACGTATACTATTGGGTAATTCAGTTTTTAGTCCTAAACTGAAGCATACATATTAAGATAGTTAATTAGGGATGGTGGCGAATATCCATAGCTCGGCTGGAGGATGGAGGTGGAGGTTCGTTCCCTGAGCTCGGTGAACGAACCTCTAACCTCACATTTGATTCTGTCCAGGAAAGGAAGGCAAATACCTGATAATGTCCCAACGTGTTGAGGCGCTTCCAGTCTCCTTCAATTTTACTTGTGGCGTCTTCATCCTGCAAGATGGTCCGTCCCCCAGCACCCTGACACCACTCTGGGATAAACCGGAAGACGAGTGGGAAGACAGTTGGCTTTATTACTCTCTCTTCCTATTTAGTTACAAATTTAAGCCAGTGGCTGATTACCCAGGTCCATTCCATGCTCACAACCCCACCTGCTTTCTGCCATGTTCCTGTCCTTCATACCTAGCTCCATGTCTTCGGCTCGTGGCCGCTGCGAATATGGCACTCCTCGATACACAGCATCTAGAAGCTTCTCCTTCGCTTGGGTCACCGAATCACAGTTTAATACTTTAACAGGCACTGCGGGTCCCCCAGGTGGCTCAGGAGGGGTGCATAATAATGTCTAGCGGGGAAAAATAAATCTCACTTTAAGTCACACATGCATATGAACATCTGCAGATCTGGGATTTGGAATGAGAAGTAATTATCCTACTTCCGTCAGCTTCCATAGCTAGGGAAGAACTACACATTTAGACCTCTGCATTTCAACGCAGCTCCCAACGAGTGTTTCAGTTTTCAGTGTGTTAAAAAAAAAAAAAACCTTTTGTCAAATACGGATGTGGATAACAGAATTGCATTTGGGGTTTGTGATACCGAAACTAGACGAGGCCTATTCCCAAGAAGGACAAAATATTTGGCTAATTTGTTGAAGAGCCTTTTGATCTTCCCAACCAGCTGTCTGTAAATAGCACCTATTGCCTTTACCTTAGTTGAGGCCCAGCATGGAATACCTTGCAGAGTACCAACCAAATCCCGATTCTCAAAATGGTATTTTGCACAATGTAATCTTTCATGGTAGATCACCCATAACTCCCAGCTCATATCTACAGCTCTGCTTCTTCCAGGCTGGTCCCCCCCCATTTTTGAAATTAAGCAATTAACCCACTTAGGAAGGTTTCCGATTGTTACAAAAGGAGAATGCTTCATTAATCTGATGGTGTAGACGCCTCTAAGCCAGAATTGCAAGCTTAGAATGACTTGGGCCACAAGCCTCTTCTTCCACATGTAGCCGTGATTTACTGAAGTGGGATATGTGGTGGGCTCCCTGGCAGCTTCTGTTGCCACCCCCCCGAGCTCACCAAGGTCTTGTAATCAATCTGCTGGCGAATGAGCTTGTCCTCGCTCAACGAGTAGCGTGCCTCGCCTGTGATGGCATCTATTGGGCCTTTCTCCATCTGCTGCTTGATGGCACAGAACAGCATGAATAATGGTTCCCCAGCACATTCCTAGGTGAGGAAGAGAGACAAGCTTGAAGCAGGAAACTTCAAATGAGACGATAGGTAAACCTGGCTCCGTATTTTCTATTCTCACCAAATCTATCTGTTCTTTTTTCTTTTTTAATGGGAAGTTCTAAGGATTAAGGTCTTCCACATTTAAGGCTTACGTTCTATCACTGAATAACATTCAACGTAATAACATTACGTTCTATCACTGAATAACATGAGTGGGTATGCGCGCATGATAGCATGCCGCCGCGCAGTTTTCTCATTAGACAGAGCTGCCGATATACGATACAATTACATAAAGAAAGGAGAATGATAATAAACTATATACATGGAAGATGGAATTTTTGGCATTAAATATTATGGAT